ACTTTTTACTTTCATCAAGAGCGTAATGTGTTACAGCAAATTGACCTGCTCAGATTTCTGAGTCTGTAGATGAGAATGGAGCCGGCGGATGAGTGGCACTCCGTTACGAGAGTGACGCTTCAGCAGCCAGTAATTGTGGAGTCTCTGCATAAACTGATTTTTCCTTTCAACGGAGACCCCTGTGCAAATCTTGTTGAGCCTATTCAAAAAATATGAAACAAGGCCAACTGTTAAATTCAACATGAAACATTCACAATTCGAAAGTTTCTTCTGTAAAGTGACAGATTTGTTTTATTTTTGAAAGAAGTTATTCATGCTCATTATAAACATTTAGGCTACATTTATTTAATTAAAAAGGTGGCTTTCTATTTTACAATATATTTAAAATGTAATGTAGTTCTGAAATGGCAAAGCTGAATTTTCAGTCTTCAGAGCCGCATGATCCTTCAGAAATCATTCCAAAATACTGATTTGGTAGTAACATTTCTAATCATAATGATAATCAATGTTGAAAACAGTTGTTCTGCACACATTGAAACCATGATGCTGATGAATCGAACTTTTAAATGAAACATCATTTATTTGAAATAGAAATAACATTCATGCCACAATGTAAAAATCTTCACAGTTACTTTTGATCAATTAAAAGTCTTATTTATTTATTTACAACAATATCCTAAATGGTTAACATAACATTCATTGGAAGTCACTTCCACACTAATGATGAGGTGAAATAAGAAGTATTACACACTTACAACGAGGTAAGATCAAAAGACCAGACCTTAACCGTCAAAAAAGCAGACGTAAACATTTACCTAAAGGAGGGTATCTGCGGCACCAGCAGGAGGGGCACTCCTGTCTTCCGCGAGGTCCCGCCTGGATTCTTCTGCATTTTCTTCTGTTGTGCGGCCGAACCTTTTTTCCGCCCATTCTGGTTCTGCTGCAGCGGAGGGCCTAATGTGTATGACCTCTGACCTCTGTTACCCCTGCCCCCGACCAAACCATTGTCTTCATCCCCCTCAGTGCCCGTACCAGGGGGCGAGTGGTTCTCACAATAAGCAGTTTTCTTAACAGAAAAAGTGGTGCCGTGCACACCGGTTTCCCGCACAGGGTCGATTTTCATATAGAGACCGGCTCTCTGGGCACAAGTGACGTGAAACGCCCTGTAGCAGTTTGCTTTGTGGCACTGAATAGACGCCCCCCTGCCTTTCTGTTTGCACAGGTAGCAGGTGAGCTTCCATCGTGCAGGTGGAATGTTTTTCACTCCCTCCACGGGCTCTAGGAACACAGTATTGGCAAAACACAATTCAGGGATCCATATGGCACAGATGACGTGGGCCCAACTTCCGTCGCTCGTTTGTTTGAACGCACCTCCCCGATTAGGGCAGAGGACACAATCGACGGGTCGCGACGGGGATTGCAGACAGCGCCTGCACAGCCACTGGCCCTCTGGGATGTAAGGCACCCCGTAACATTCCTGGTGCACTGCGAGATTGCAGATGTCACAGAAGAGGATGACGTTGCTGTTGAGACACTCGTCGTCAAGGCAAACGCAACAGTAGGCATCCTCGTCGATGGTGCTCTGAGACAGCGCCTGGCTGCGGGACTCCAAAATGGACTCTCGCTCAAGTCGGTCAATCAATAACTCAAAAGTATCAGGGGGGACGGAAGCGTGGCCATCAGACACTCGCTTCTGATTCACCATCTCTAGCCAAGCCATGTCCTCCTCGTCCATGTCGTACTCGGCCTCGTTGTCCAACTCCTCCCCTGACTTCTCTATGTAGCGATAATAAGCCGCAGGAAGAGGAGGCGCTTCTGAGGCCATGAAAGTGTCCACCGTACGAAATGTAGGCTTTGGCAGGGAGATTTGTGAATGAGCGACTTGAGTTTGCAAGCCATTCTGAGAGCCAGATCTCTTTTTGGCTGTGTGTTTGCTATCTTTCCGCTTGCTTTTAGACACAGTGTGTTTGTTTCCCAGTCTTTGCTCGCTGTTCTCTTTGTTACTGTTGCACTCCGTCAGATCCTGAGCCAGCATTTCGTCCTCGGTTACGACGGAGAGCTGGTCGTAAATGTTGATCCGGTGAAGCCTTCCATCCAGCTCAATCTCCACCATTTTCTGAGCCTGCGCATACGTAAGAGTATCTCTGGTCATAGAGAAGTTCAGTCTACATGGAGAAGGTGGACAGAGTAGGGCGTCCATGTCGGCATGGCTGGATGAACCAACTTGAGTCTGATCCTCTCCTCTGTCAAAGCCTCCAGCCCTGGATTGGCCAACTCGTTTCTTTAACTTTCTCATTGAAGTTACCCTCTACATAAATGTTAAAATATGATTGGACATGGGTACCTGTAAGAACAGAAATATGCATTACCAATATTGACCAGATATTGAAAACACTTCTCAAGGCAAGACACTACAGGCAAAACCGTTGTTTTTTCATATATTGGTCAATTTTGAGCGATTTTGCTTCATAACGGGTCTTCTATTAGACTAGTCGATAGAAAACATCCCAAAATACACATTTATGTGTTTCTTTTATTATTATTTATGTCTGTTGATTTAAATTATAATTGCACTTTTGTCTTATGCAGTGTGAGCCACAAATCTCAGTAGCACCAAAATGTCCAGTTTTATACCAATGAATATTATGAAAGTTGTTATAGAGGGGCTTCTTCATATATAATTGGTCTGGTTTACACACTTTATTCCTGAAAACAGATTTATTGATTTATGAGCTAAGAGGTAAAACTATAAAGAAGTATCCAAAGTTTCTGCTGTCAAAACTCTTAACATGTCCAAATGAAAAAAAAATCAGATTATCAAATTTAGATTTCTGTTCTACAAATGCAAATTTGTGCATATTTAAATGTATAGTTTCAGAAAACTTGCAACACAAAACATTTATTAATAATAAATGGGGAGATAAGGTGATATCTATTAGTTAAATAATTTTTCCCTATTCACCTGTAGTCTTACTCTTGCTTTACCACAAAAACTATCTTAGACCAACAAACCATCTTGAGGTGGTTTTAGCTAACGTTACAACAGGACTGTCAATAAGCACATATGAATAAAAACATTAAAAACCAAATGTATCAGCGACTCCACTCCTTCATGGTGCGTTTGCTGTGAAATAAAAAGTAAAAATAAACACTTCATTGAAATCAATAAACATCTAATAACTACTAAATAAGGGGTTGTTTCTCACATTAACAGATACACATCTTCAACAGTGTATACAGTGTACATGTCTCTCCATTTGTAACGTTGGTAATAAATGTATCTCAAGTGAACCAATAGGATCCCGTGCTAATATCACGTGAATAATTCGAGCCAATCACCGGGCAGACCTTCAATTTTTCTGCGACCCAGTTGACGTAGTTCGGTTGCAGAGCGCTAAATACCAATCCTGTAGCAAGACAGACGAGTCAGTCAGCCATTTTAGCAGGGCTGATGGACAGTCTCAACCTCGATTGTTTTTCCTGATAACAAACTCTGACGGTGCACGATGCCTTATTTTCACCTTGTCAACAAAACGACAAATAATTGCACATGACGCTATAGCTCCGTTGCATGCAATGCCGTGTGTACACGCAGAGAATAAAGCACTTGTATGCAATAAAGCGCCGTGTATAGTCAGCAAAGGCAGAGCTAGTAAATGAGCGCTTTCCATTGCAGGAGACATATTTGGAGAGTCCAAGAAAGCAGCGCTACTACCTGCCCCCGCGACATTGCTGTTTACAGAAAGCAGTGCAGAATAAATCAGCAAACTTACTCTTTTATCGATCTTTCGAAACGACAGGGAATGCCGGTCATATCCAGGGGCGACAGCGTCCTCTTCTGTAGCAAGACGGGCTTCCTCAACCCTCCATTGATGAGACTTCCCACAAAAACGTTTCTAAACACACACCCCGGCTGTTTACACAACACTATCACCTTGACATGGAGTCCCAGTGTTTCAAATAGGCGCCTGACATTATTGCAGAGTGTTCGTATGCATTGAACGTTGGTTTGTAATTAAATTGGCAAGAAAAATACGCCCCTTTAGAAAAAAAGGCGAATTCTCGGCGTTGGGCTTTGCACTTGGCGCGCGCATCATGCGCACTGCTCTGCCATTGGTGGAAATTGTCATCGGGAGGACGCGGAGTCTCGCTTAAGCCAATAGAGGCTTCGAGCGATAAGAAAAACAACTCGAGAGACTTCCCTGAAATGTTAGCGCGCATAGACTCCATGTTCACAAGCTACATCACACGTCCGTGTAATGTATGGTTTACTGTGAAAAGAACAATTTCTTGATAACAGTCGACATAGTAGCTAATACAACAATAGCCTACATTATTATTATGTTTTAAATAAATCCAGTTTTCCGTCTAATATTATATACCTGCAATATTTTAAGGGAAGCATAACATATAGCCCATGTATTATTTTGTTTGTTTCTTTTTTAATTAAATAATCTCACATTTTAACAATTTGTGATTAGGCTACTTCATCCGTTCCGTTTTCCTCTGAACATATAAAGACTACCTATTTTATAAGTGTTTTTTGTTCACTTCATTGTTATTATTATTATTTTGTTTCTTTATTCTTAATGAAATGATAATCTGAATGTTTAAATAATTTGAGATTATTTATTTCATCCTTTCAGTTTTTTAGTCAATATCTTTTAGTCATAGGCATAGGCTATTGCATGTTATTTTTATCCACTTTATTCATGAAGCTTCTGTGAATCAAAGCTTGGTCATTTTTCCCCCTGATACACTGGTGTTGAAGGGCATGCTATTTATTATACTATTTTTTTTTTTTTAATTTTCAATATTAGGTCAGACTGACCTAAGACATCAAAAATTGAATTTTCAATATCGCCCGTAGGCCTATCTATTATAGAGAATATCAGATCTCTAATTTATCTTGCTCTAGAATATTCTATCAACCCATTCCATTATAAGTGTTTGGATGAGTTTCTCCACCCCCTGAAACTCATTGGCTTTTCCCAAGCCTTTATGGGAACCCTCCAATTCATTATTGTAAACCACTCCACTGTCTTGATCAGCGTCAGTGTCAGTGCAGTCCCATCACAGTGGAATTCCAGTGCAGTACATCATGGTAAGTAGAGATTAGGAGGGCGCTATTTGATTTGAACCTTTTAAAGTCACTGCTTTTGTCTTTTTGATTTGAAGTATGCTGGAAACTCTAAGAATGCATTGATGGTCCTTGTAAAAAAAAGAAAGTCCATGTGTTATTGTCATTAACCTCAACAAAATATTAAGCAACAGGAACTAATGTAAAAGTTGGTTAAACAAATATGTCTTGGATAAATGTAAATATATGTCTTGGATAAATGTTTATGTTATTTACAATGTATGTGTTGATAGCTTGGCTAGGTCAGCAGCATATGTTTTTTTATTTTAATAATGCATATAATTTAGCATATTTAATACATAAATATTTGTATTTTTTATTTATGTTTTTAATAAGTCAGACTGTCTGTTTGACTTGCAGGTCAGAATCAGCAACATGTTGGGAATTGTCTCTTTATGCTTTTTGCTGGGGTCAGAGTTCTGCATAGCAGGTACAAGTTTAATTGTTAATATATGGATATGTAGTAAAAGTTAAATAGCAGTGACGTTGTTTTTTGTGTCATGTAAAATTGTAATGGTGTAATGGCATCACACAGCACAATTATTTCTTGAATTCCATCTTAAAATCGCCTCTCTTTCTCGAAGGAACACACTATAGTGGCATTAGTTACTTTTACGGCATCTTGTGTAATTCCAGAAAAAGCAGCTATTATGAAATCCGTGCCAACTCGCCTTGTCCTCGCCGCATGAAGTTATTGAATTTCACAGGCCTGTCATATGATAAATGGCTGAAGAGTCAGCTGGGCACATCATCAAAGATAGTGACCACATCCTGCTTGGCACACTTCAAACCCCATTCTGACAGAGAGGAAGCTAGCCAGCTGAAATCGTCTCAAAAACGGTTATAAATCAATGCAAAGCCTTGAACAAGTAGAACAGTGTTTAAGACATGCCAAGCTATGACAGCACGTCGAGGACCCTCTGTGTCTGTCATAAATTCAATAAGGAGGAGCTGATGAGTGTCAACATCACTCTATGGTGTTGATGGAGCCCTGAGGGCTTTGCTTAACTTTAGCTTCAGATACTCTTTGACTGCCCCGACCAGGACTTTGTGATCGAGTGACAAAAACATCAACTCCAATTAGTCACAGTTCAGCTCTGCAATAAGATTGTTGTCTCGCACTTTTGAGAAAGGAGAAAAACAGCCAAACGTTGCGGGTTCCGGAAACCCGGAAGCTTCCTAAGAGGGCATCAAACGCAGCCGTGCCATTCACTCATCATTATCTCCCTGAGATTCGCAGACCGAGCTAGGATATGATTTTTTTTTTTTTTTTTTTTTTTGCTAAAGATGGCTGCCGAACAAAAGGTTCTCTGATGACTCTGGCTAATTTAAGATGGAGCTATTTGTGACACAAATGCAGCAGGAAATCAAGACTCTCAGCCAGAGAACTGATTTGGCAGATCAATAGAGGAGCCACTGAAATTCTGGCCATGTCTCTATGTCAACTTGAGGTCACTTTTGAACAAACACACTCTTTGAATAGATCTAAGATTTTCAAATGTGTTGACTCAGTAGGACGTTGTTTTGTTTATGGACTTCAATCTCTTCAAATTCCATTTAACTTTTTGTTTTAGCTGACATTCTTATTTACGTGATAGAGTCCTGTGATGAGATTTTATAGCTACCGTTCAAAATGTTGGGGTCAGTAAGATTTGCTTTGAGAGAAATTAATACTTTTATTCAGCAAAGACACTTTATAGATTTCTGAAACAAATGCAGTTCTTCTAAACTTTCTATTCACCATGTATCATGGTTTGTACAAAAATGTGTAATTTGTACAATATTCAACATTGATAATAATAAAAAAATGTCTACCAAATCAGCATATTATAATGATTCTAAAGGATCATGTGACACTGAAGACTGGGGTAATGATGCTGAAAATACAGCTTTGCCATTACAGGAATTACATTTTAAAATATATTAAAATAAAAAAACAGTAAGTTTAAATGTAATATTTCACAGTATTACTGTTTTGATAGCATATGCCTTTCAATAACATAAAAAAAAAATCATACAGACCCCAAACTTTAAACAGCAGTATATTTGAATTAATAATAAATTAATTATATTGTTTATATATATATTTTTTTTCATTTCAGCAAAGCAAGAACTGATAGTTACCACCATAAAGGTAACTACTAAATAACAACTATGAAATGTGATGTTTGTATCTTAATATCATTTGCATACACTTTAAAAAATAATCTTGTAAAAAAAAACGGTAAACTACTGGCAGCTGTGGTTGCCAGCATCATACTGTAAAAATACAGTGTGTTACTGTTTTTGAAATGAACAGCCAAATACTGTATTGTACTGTATATACAGCTATATGCTCTAACACAAAAACAGTATAATCGTATAGTTACGGTATGATGCTGGCAACCACAGCTGCCAGTAGTTTACCGTTTTTTACAGGGTTATTTTTTACAGTTAAACAATAATAATATTGTACTAACAACTTAAATCTTTCATTTTCAGCAAGACCCCTACACAATGAGCAAGGGCTCGCAGTTAGAAGGCTACTGTATGGATCTGTTCACTGAGCTGGCTAAGAAACTGGGTTTGAAATACAAAGTTCACCTGGTGAAGGATGGATCGTATGGCCGGCAGGACGAAAGTGGAAACTGGAACGGAATGATTGGGGAGGTTGTTAGAGGGGTATGTAATGCATTTTACAGAAAAATACACAATAGTACATATTATACACTACATATAAATCTAAAATAAGCATGGTAATTAAATCATCCATGACATTAATCCTGCCCAAGTAGTGTGAAACCTTCCTCGTATTTTGTTCTCAGGAAGCTGATCTCGCCGTGGCTCCCCTCACTCTCACTGCTGCCCGTGAGAAGGCTGTGGGAATGACAAAACCTTACATGCAGACCGGAATCAGTATCCTCCTCCGCAAAGATATCGTTTCTGAGGAGGCCGGCTTTTTTGCCTTCCTCTCCCCCTTCTCTGGGGAGACCTGGTTCGGCATCCTGATTGCATACTTTGTGACTGCAGTCTGCATCTGCATTGTGGGAAGGTCAGAGAAATGAGCAGAACACGCATTGAACACTTACTCATTTACTAAAAACAAATCGTTTAACAATACAATCAGTAAAACTGCTGCTCTGTTTTTCAGAACAAGGATAGTTTCTGAATTTTTTCTTGAACTGTTGTTGATTTCTGCATTTGTCTCTTTATATGAAGGTTGAGTCCATGTGAATGGAGTGAGCCTGAGACAGAGCCGAATCGCTTCACACTTCTCCACAGTTTATGGTATGCTGTAGGAGCCCTAACCCTGCAAGGTAATCCATCCCAATGCAGAATACAGGAGATCTTCTATTGAATATTCTAAAATATATTTTAGAATATTCAATATCCTTTTCTCTTTGGCCATTTTAAACGGGTTCACTTTTATTTCCCTTCACCTATGGCCAAATTTGTGGATTTTTCACCTAAATTAGTTCCGATCACATTCAGACCAAACCTCTCAATTATAACGTATTGGATTTTTCGTGTTGTTCTGCAGAACCTTATGCATAATAAGGTTATTAATTTTATGCATAATAATACAAATCTTCCATGGAAGATTTTTTGATAATAACGGTTTATTTATATTTTTAGTGGTCGGATGCGGTGGGGAATTTCATATTTATGTCATGTCCATCAGTGTTATTTTACTATTATTTATATACTAATTTGTATTCATATTTTTAAAAACATTGTAATGAAGTTTTCATTTTCATTGTATTTACTTCAGTAATTGTTTGTTCTTTTTATTTATTTATTTATTTATTTATTTATTAATATTACTACTTAGGTTTAATTTATTAGATTTTTATATATTTGTCATTTTAGTGTTTAAACAAACTTTCTATCAGACCTTTTTTAATTTAAATGACTATTTAGATTAGAATAATCAATTTATTTTTGTTTTTAGTCCAGTTTTATTCATTTTCAGGTGGTAATTTTAGTGCTTCAACTTAAACAAATTTCCGTAACTTTTATTTCAGGAGTGCACCTTTAACAAAATTGCTGTCTATGAAGCAAAAAATGTCAAATGCTGTAAAATGCCGTGCCCTTAATGAGTATACAAAGATTTACCTGCACCTCCTGTCAAAAGAAATGAACAATAATACCCTTCTATCCTTTCAACCGACTGTCTTTAAAAACAGAATATGGAAGGATAACATTTTTTCCTCTAATTTGTTCTGCTTTCTGCAGGTGCAGGCCCTCACCCTAAAGCCGTGTCAGGAAGGGTAATCAGTTGTACCTGGTGGTTGTTTGCCGTCGTACTCCTGGCCTGTTATTTTTCCAGTCTTAATTCCTCTCAGGCGTCTGACTCTGCCCCGCTCATGATTAAAGGGTTTGAGGACTTGGCTAATCAGGAAGTAATAGAATATGGAACGCTTGCCGGCTCCTCCACCCTCGCCTTCTTTAAGGTCTGATCACATAAATCATATCTGCACATTTTCCTGATTACGGTAGTGAAACTCATTCCTGCCAGATGTTACAGAAAGATTTCTTTACATGTTAACATTTTTTTTTTGCACAGAACTCCAATAACCCATCTTACCGTCGCATCTATGAGCACATGGAGCGGAGGAAGAGTTTCGTGACCTCTATGGATGAGGGTGTCCAGAGAGCAAAGGAAGGAAATTACGCTTTCATTGGAGAATCGGTGTCCCTGGACTTGGCTGTGGCACGGCATTGTGAACTGGTCCGTGCACATGAGGTCATCGGGATGAGAGGTTACAGCATTGTAACTCCTCTTGGTGAGACAAACATATTTCTTCTGTGGCCCATGTTGTTCTAAAGGTTCCTGATTTTGTTTTGGAGGTCCTACAACAGGGTTACAAACATCCAAAGTCAAAAAACACATTTAGTTTCTAATAATAAAAAATCAGTATCTTCTTTTTTCTAACAATGTCTGAAACGGTTCAATCAAAGATTTGGTCTCTCTAAACAAACTTTCTGAGAGACTACTCTGCTCTGATTGGTTAGATGCTGCAGTCTGTTGTGATTGGTCTACCCTTTGCACTGTGCATGTCGGAAATGAAACGCTCATTACCATATCTGAATTTCAGCTCCAGAGGCTTCCTTACGCAGTGATATGAACAATAACAATGGTTTTTCCTTACAGTTTTTCACATACAGACGACAACATTGACAGAATGATCTCTGCGAATCTCCACACATATCCGCAAATCATTAAGAACGCTGTGTTATGTCACTTTGTGTGAAAACTATGCACCTACAAGTAATATGTATGACCTTTTTCACAAATTCGTGCTTTTATTGTTTACATGGAGACAATAACGGTTTTGTTTTCAAAAACTTGCACTTTGAAAACAGCTTTCAAAGGTTTGCGTTTTCAGTCCCTAAAAATTTTTAGTCGAAAATGGTTTCATGTAAACTTTGCAGACCTTTTACATTCACAAATAGATTTATGACACTACATGAAAAGTAATATTCGAAAAAGCAGAATAGAGGCACTTTAACATACATTAAAGTTGACCCGAGATATTTTTTCTGATGTATTATTTGTTTAAAGTGAGGCAAAGGACATTGATGTTTCTTGCTGCAGTTCAATCAGTCTTTTTTCTTGGAACAGGCTCTCCTTTGCTGAAGAACCTGAGCGTGACCATCCTGCAGCTGAGCGAGGCTGGGGAGCTGGAGTACCTGCGCACTAAGTGGTGGGCCAGCAGCTGTATACCGGATAGTGCCAAAGCCTCGTCTCTGAGGGCTCATAGCATGAAGGGCATCTTCCTGGTTCTGGCTATAGGTCTTGGGATTGGAGTGCTGCTCTCCTTGTTTGAACTCACCTCAAAGTCTCGCAGCACTGCAGGGGAGCAGAAGGCAAGTATTGCCAATCACACACACAACAGAATTTCCATTGGCTCTAAACTTCAGCACAGACTTCAACTGAACAGTAGCACATTTTGATGAGTGTTTTTGATCATTATAAAAGTTTTGGTGAAAACCTGTTCTCAACCATACAGAAATCCTGCTGCACAGTTTTGACTCAGGAGCTGAGCCAGCGTTTGAGAATGACCAACACAAAGGGAGACCAGGAAACCTCAGACAAGAACAAGGCATAAAAGGTTAAACAACAGTGATGTAATATGTAAGTCTTACATAGCAGAATGACTTAACTGTTCATACTGTAGGTCTGTACATTATCTGATGTTGGGACTATTTCTCAATATATTCGATACATTTTAACAGATACATAATTATATTAATACATCATTTTCTAAAACGTTTGTTTGTTCAGTGAAGATGGTGCAGTGAGGCACCTTCTTTTCACCTGAATATTGCAGCAAAATCTCATGTAGCTCTTTGTATTTTACATAATTATCATGCATTCCAACTTGAAACCATAATTTAGACCATAATTATGAGTCTAAAATGTTAATGTAAAATCTATTTTGCTAATGAATGACAAGGATTGGAGACATCTGAAAATGTCTATAAAAAAGTAAAATATTTTATAGAAGTAAAAATGGCAAGTAACATATTACAGTAGTTTTGTAATTCGAACATGGGGAAAATACATAAAATTGCATACAAAAAAACACCTCTTACTGTCACAAAAGAGGTATTCATTCTGGCACCATGTATATTAATGAATTAATAAACTTGGACTTACACTAAAGTGTGATTGCATTATTTAAGAGAAAATCAGAACCATATGTTTAGTTTTAAACACAGTCTTTAAATTCATAATATCTAAATCAAAATGGCAGCTTCCAGATGCAAAAGACAGAATGTAACATTCCAGGCTACTTTTGGAAAAAAATATGAACACATGAATTATGAGCCCAGATGACATGAGCAGATGATGGCAAAATAATACAAAATACAAATGTATTTGCTGATATGTTTGCTTTACTTCCTGTAGCATCTGTCCATATCCGTCACAGTAGCTGCAGTGTGGCATTTTCTTTTCTTTTCTTTTCGGTTGTGTTTCTTTTTAGGTTTCACATGCATGGCTTTTCTACAATGTTGAGGAATCTAAAAATGTATAAATAAATACAAAAACAGTCAAAATCTCTACTTAGGTAAACTATAAAGCGACTTTTGATAGACATTTTAACCAGCATGAAAAAAAGTATTCATTTAAAACAATTTATAATTTAGGAAAGAGCCTTTGGCACATACCTCTGAAAAACAGTGGTGAATGGCAGTGAATCTCACGCATTTTCTGCTCAAACAGAGCATTCATTTCCCTTTGCAGTGTGCCCATTGTCTGCTGCTGGTTGTCAGGGAAACGGGATGGCAGAGAACTCAGGTCAAGGCTGTCCAAACTACTTAGGCTGCTTGATTCACTTTCAGCAAGGTTGTGATTATTAGGAGCAGAGTTTTTTGGTGCAGAGTAACTACACTGTGGGAGAGGGTATTGGTTGAGGAATTCTTTCCTAATGAGACCGGTCGTGTTTGGCGGAGAGGACGGACGGCGTCTTGGGACGCTTTGTGATCTGAATCCTTTAAATGGTGAATCTTTGGAAGATGGTGTGTCTTGGTCATTCCTACGTCTGCACAGTGCAGGTGTTGCGGGGATTGACATTGGTTGCCACAGGGGGTTAAGCCTGCCGTCTATAGAGGCTCCGAATTTATTCTTGAGCACCGGATTTCTGATGTTTAATGTTCCACTGGTAGGATCTAGTACTCCATCAGGTATTGGATGGAAATTCAAGGGTTCCCACTTTTGTGTAGGTTCTGACTGAATTTTCAGATGGCTCTCTTGAAGTTCACACAGCTCAGGTTCCTGCACTGAATCCTCAATAACAGATGTAGCACCTGAGATCTGCTTCAACAAGAGTTGCTCATTCTGTGTAGAAGCAGCATCCTTCTTCTTAGGTACATGTAAGTCTGTAGACTCGCACTGCTGTTTAGATGTTGAAGGTAATTCATTTAGTTTTGAAACAGTCAACTCTTTGTTATCCTCAAGGTGTGATTGGACCACAGAAATCGGATCATCTAATTCTGAATCAAATGCCAAGTTGTTATAGTCCATAGCTACTCCTGCTCCACCAGAGCATGTGATAGAGGACAGGCGGCGCCGTGCCTCATGAGATCCTTCTGGCTCCTGAAAACAGACCTTGTGTGCTCGTCTCAGGGGTTCACTTTGAGCTCCTCTGAGCAACGATGCAGTCTGCGAGGTGCTCCTGCTGTCCTTCGAGCTCACGTCATCACTGTAACGTCGGTTTAGAAAGTCCTCTTTGGCGTAGCAGTCGGCTAAACCCGTCACGACTTTTGTTTTGTTCTTCTCAGCTCCACCTTTACGCAGGAAGTTTGCACCGAATGACTTCCTTGAGCCGTCTTCAGAGGTCTGCATAAGGTTTTTCTGGATTAGCTGCTTTACTGCGTTGCTCGATTTGACCTGGTTATGAATACATCAGAAAAATGGCAATTAATAAAAGGCAGAATTACTACAACAGCTACATTTATGTACAAGAGAAACCTAATGAAAAGTTACCTTTCCTGTGATGTCATTAATGCTAACATGCACAAAGATAGATGCTTCTTCCATACCTTCTAAATAGACATGCCGATATCCTGTGGGACAAGGAAATAATATAAGTGTGACTGAATTATTGATGAAAATGGAAATGTGTACATCTGTGCAATAAAGTCATCTATTGGCATGCATTTTACCTGGCATCATGCTTTTAAATGCTATGGTTCTCTGTCCAATGAAGTCTCGTCCAATCGGATCATGATCCCAAACCATAAAGCGCACCAAGGCAATCTGAGGCATGTGCAGCGTAAACACTAGCGTTTCCTCCCACATGGGGTTAAAACCTGTTAGTATGACATTAAAATATGAGAAATGCGCATATATTGAAAACAAAACTCAGCTGATAATTTGGTAATTCTTTTTAATTGCGACTAATGGTTAATTTTTCAATTAACTGAAAAATGGTTTGCAGTTCAGTCAGAGAGTTAGTTGAATCATTTTTTTGAGATTGCATCTCATTTGAACTCAAGACTTGTGAATCTTTTTGACTGACTGCTTCTTTTTGATTGGAATGGTTCTTAAGAGTCATTTGTTTGAGAACTGACATCACATGGAAAATATTTTTTTTTAACTTGACACAGTGCTTTAAAAGTCTGTCTAGCATTTGTTTACATAAAAAAAGTAGTGGAACTCAAAAACGTGTCCCGTTTCCATCAGTAGCAGTCGCTACAAACACATATGAATCAACCACTAACCTTATAATGCCATTATATTTGAATTACCAATACTGCCAAGTTCGGTTTGCACGATCCAGATTTGTACTTACCATTGTCGTCCACTACTCTTGTCTGCTGTTTATTGCAATCTGTAGGCAATCCAATTATCTCCACTTCCACAAAGGGATCTATGATCTGGACAATAAAGCAGTGAAACCCAGATCGCATGTTACACATTATTACGTACTTTCATTCTTAAGTATGAGTGAACTCACCTCTCCTCTGTCCCCTAGCATGGAGTCTTTTGGCTTCGGTAGCTGCTGGCCACTAATAATCTTGAGCACTAGCTGAGATTTCCTGTGTCCTGGCAAAGGGTCTTCCAGTGTAGGATTAAAGGCACCTGAAGACAATCATTATGTGTGGTGAAGATTGCCTTTCAAAGAGAATAATAAATATAATGCATCAAACAAATGGTTCTTTTTTTTTACCTGTACTCTAGAGACACCATCTTACCTTTACACATGCATTTTGGCTTCAGCACATATCCGCAGTTTCCATTTGCTGCAAATTTCGCCCTGTTCAGCTGTAGCATACGGCCTTCTGTTTGATAGTTGAGAGCGACTGGAAAGATGAAACAACATTTCAAACAAATGCACTGTGCAACTGGGGAAAAAAAAGAGCCATTTTCCAGCAGTGATCCATTGCTGTTCAAATAAAAGTCTTTGCTGTTTTATCATTAATGAAAAAACAAAAGGCTTTGATAATAACTAGAAAGGAAATAATTAATAATAAATTAAAGGAAAAAAAGCTAAATCAAACCTAAATGACATCCTGCGTTCCAAAAAGTCTGAGGATTGAAGTTGCTCGAATCAACACGGTAGTTGGAGGGGTAGACTCTTATGAGTTGTCGCTGATTGAAGCGAACCAACTGGGCAGGTTTTAAATGCAGAATCTGGTTAGTTATGCTCTCGTTTAAGGAGGAGACTTGCCAGCTGCACATGTATGCTGCAACACCAATACAGTTTATTTAGACATAAACATCAAGCATGCATTTACAGTTTGTGCTCAAAGAGGTTGCAACTGTCTTACCTTGAGTTTCTATATCATGAACACGCACTGACTTGGTGTATTTAACGAGATCAGAGAGGGCACGAGAAAGTCTCATTGTTTTTCTTCGTCTGCAAAAATGTCCATAAAACATGGACTATCATTAGACTAAACAGATTTAGATACACACTGTAAAAAATGTTTGTAAGATGCAATAAATACAATAAAAATTTGACAATTGATTAAGTTACCTCACTATTACATGAGATTTAACGTTTACTGTACAATAATGTAAATGGATATATATATATATATATATATTAGGGCTGTCAAACGATTAATCGTGATTAATCGCATCAAAAATAAAAGTTTGTGTTTACATAATATATGTGGGTGCACTGTGTATAATTATTTTGTATATATATAAATAGACACATGAATGTATATTTAAGAAAAAAATATTATTTATATATAAAATATTTATATGTATATATACTATAAATTATTCATAAATCTATATACAGTATATACATGAAAATATTTCTTAAATATATTCAAGCATGTGTGTGTATTTATATATATAAAATAATTATACACAGTGCATCCACATATATTATGTAAACACAAACTTTTATTTTGGATGTAATTAATCGCGATTAATCGTTAGACAGCCCTAATATATATAAAATGTTGTAATAAAATATTTAAATATAAAAATATTATTTAAATATTTTTTGAAATTAAAAAAAATAAAACAGTAAAAAGTTTTCATACATGATGCATCACATTTGATTTATTTAATTTAAATACTATTTTTTCTCTCTTATTTTAATGATCAGTTATGTACATTGGGGCCTGCAGTCATATTTTATACTGTTTAAATAAAAATGTATTGCATAGTTAAAAATACAGTCATGAATATGCACCAAAAATGCCATCCTGTAAATTAAAAATAAAACAAAACATCCAGTTTTTACAGTAAAAAAAAACATCTATTTTTTTACAGTACACAGAGAATTCAACAACAAACTATCTCCTGAAATACTCACTTGCCATAGTTGATGGACTGTTTATCATTACTGCTTGGGATTTCCTGCTCAGTATCAGAGTCACTCATGTTGGGCTTCTTTTTTAATTTCACACGTTTTTTCTTCTAAAACACAAATTGTGTAACATCGTAACACTAGACCGTATAATGCTGCTTTCGTGATATTTTCCCCTATTTTACTGGAAATATGACAAGCGGAAAGTGTTTGCCGACCTTGCGCCTGAAGCTGCCCATGAACGACCTCCGTGAGCGTTTCTTCGATTCATCACCCGTCTCTGGTGTTCCTTCAGTACTCTGTAACCCAGAACACAGCAATTTTTAGTCAGACACTCCAGAAGGGGAATAACCCAATTATTCTAATGTAGACAAAAGCAAAAAGCATC